CAGCCATAGATGAAAAAACACAAAAACCAGAAATAATTAGTCTGTATTATATGACGAAAGGCGGCGTTGATGCTTTGGATGAAAAATGTACGGTTTACAGTTCGTCCAGAAGAACGCAACGTTGGCCAATGGCTATATTTTACAAAATACTAGATATGAGTACAGTTAACGCTTTCGTTATGTATCAGTGTTATAGGAAATCCAAACCCTTAGACAGGAAAGATTTTATAAAGGTACTGGCTAAAAGCTTAATTGAAGCACACATGAAACAACGAATGTATAATAGCAGAATCCCGACAGAAATAAGAGAAAACATATTACCCATCGAAACTTCATAGGAAGACATCTTATTTATGCGTCTGTTGTAAAAAAATAATTTGCTTGATTTGTTTTTATAAAATATGCAGAAACTGTAACGTTCAAAAAGAATAAAAAAAAAATAATCCCATTTTTTTGTCCTTATTTACCCCCTGCACGTTCCGTTACGTTTAGACTACTGATGAAAATTTTATTACCATAGATTATTCAATATTTGCTATACCTAATATTAAAACCATTTGTACATACCAAATTTAGAAATATTAAAAAAAAATTAAGTTTTCCGACGTAACACCGTACTTTATTTATTTGCAACTTCTGACAAAAATGTTAATAATAAGAATAGTCAGTAACAGAAAGAACTAAAAAGGCAATAGAATATTGCAAAAATGCCTAAAGAACAGATTATTATAAACAATGTGATAAAATAATTATTTAAATTTGAATGAGACCAGCATATTTATGATGAGTCCCGGAGACTCCACGTCACCGGTTATGTTCCTAAAAGCGGACGTCACCGGTTACGGGTTAAAATAAAAGTCACATAATTTTTTACAAAAATCTAGATCCGGCCTTAAAATAAATTAGATTAAAGTTTGATTAGAATTAAATTAAATTAAAATAATAAATAATAATTGACATTGTAATTAAAAAGTTTTATTAGTATAGGAAAATGGATAGAAGTGACAAAGGAACAGTAAGTGAAATAGATACAGATAAAGAAACGAAACGCAAGATAAGAGACTAGGATGAATATTTTACAAAAAGTAGAATGACAAAGCGTACATCTTCTTAAAGTGATACGGAGAAAATGGAAGAAAAAGAGGATGTCATGATTTAAATTATGCAAAAACTAATGGAAAAAAAATAAGGAAATATTGAATGAAATAAAGCAAATAAGAAAAGAACCAACAGAAAGCAATAAACAACTACAAGAAATAAAGGTGAAGAAAAGAAAATAAAAAACGACGTAAAACAATTACAAGGCAGAATATAACAACTGGGGAAAAAGTAAAAAGAAAAGTTTGATTATATTAGGTTTAAAAATAGATACAACTGAGAAAAGATAAGAAAATAAAAATGTTAGAATAAGTGAACATCAATCTTATATTAAAAATAGAGAATTTGATAGATCTCAAATCTGTAAACACGCATGGGATAATGAACATAGGGTTCAATGGAATAATTCAAATGTAGTCCTAAAAGAAATGGATGGTAAAAAAAGAAAAATCAAAGAAGCGGCTCTAATTATGCTAAATGAAGCCAATTGTGTCGCAAATTCCTCGGCAGAATGTAGTAGGATCTGGTTACCAATATTGAAAGAGGAAGTTATTAATAAGAAAATACCAGTATTAGTAAGTCAGTAACATATAGAGGATACATCATTTATATTTTTTAAATAACGTAACATATAAAATCAGAATTTTGATGTTTGTTGAAGGTAAACTAAATTCACGAACAAATATTTACAATGTCGGGATAGTATTATGAGGTTTTTTCCTGGTTTTTTCCTCACAATTTACTATGGAATCACTAACAGGAGAATTTTACTGTCATCGTGTCATGTGTTTGTCTTTTTAAAGACGAATTACATGCTATGATTTTTTTCTGACGGATATTCTCAAGTTAAAGTTGATTTCATGTAATCGAATGAACTATCTTATAAGTAAAGTCGTCCCAGGAGCGCAACTCAACAATATTGGCAATATCATTTTAAAGTCGTCTACTTTAAAATGCATAATGTATGTCTGAATTGTCAATATAAATGAGTCAGATAAAATTAAATTATTAGAAGAATTTTTCACTATGTAACAAAAAACAAAATTTGTTTAATTTACTGTTTGTATTTTGAGAACGATTTTCGAAGTGGAAATTGAAACGTCAATAAACGTATTTTATCTTTAATTGTGGCTTATTTCCAGTTTAATAGTAATTAATTTAAGAAAATAAAAAGCATGAAATCAGAAAGGGAACATTCACATTTAGATGACAAGAACTGTAGAAGGCAGAAAAAATATGAGACACAGTCTATGCCATATAAACAGAAACTTTTACGGATAAAATTAAGATAATAAATAGGAAAAGTAAATTAAAATATCGTAAAGATCACATCTACAAAAGTATTGATCTGACATTAGAACACAAAGAAATAGAGAAAGAAATAGTTACAATAGCAAAGGGAGAAAAAAGTAAAGAAAAATAGACAAACATAGAATAAAGAGTAAAAGTAGAAGTAGAAGTAGAAGTAGAAGTAGAAGTAGAAGTGGAAGTGAAAGTAGAAGTTCGTGAATGGGAAAGAATGGATATGGAATGAAGAAAAACAGCAAATAAAAGAAAATACCAAATAAAAATTGCCAAAGAACTAGTAAAAGGAAAACACCTGGGGAGTTATGATACCGAAACGGCTAGACAAAAGAATACGACCATGGAAAACAAAAAAATAAACGCAAAAGAAAGGAAACAAATCAAGAACGTAACTAAAATTGGGACTTGGAATGTGAGAAGTACTTATAAGCAGGGAGATTTAGGAAACTTAGACCAAATCATTAAAAAATATACAATAGATATTCTTGCCCTGCAAGAAACAAAACAATTGGGAAATGAAATAATAAAAATAGAAAAGTGTACACTGTTTAAGAGTGAGGGGACCAAAAGATATTTTGGAATGGGATTCATGGTGTCAGAGAAGTAAACAAACAGATATGAAACAGAATATGTTACCTAAAAATAAGAAAAAAGTATAGGAAGATAAGTTTCAATAATGTACATGCACCCACTGAAGATGAAGCCCACAGAGGACAAATTGAAGATAGCAAGCACAAATTTTGATCCCAAAAAACAGTCATCCGGTAACATGAACTTGTCTCGATAGAAAAATAAAAAATCAGATAGATCATGTTTCAATTAGAAGCAAACATGATAAGACAATAATCGATTGCAAGAGTTACAGAGGGGCAGACACTAACAACACTAATAATAGCAAAACTAAAACAATAACTACCAATAATTCCAAAACCTGTTAGAAATAAATTAAATTACCAATTAGAGCGCCTTTAAGAGAACTCGGTTGTAAACAGACTAGAGAAAGAAATAAATAAAAAGCTAGAGAATCCAGTCAAACAGGATATAAATGAAAAGTGGCAGACCATATAGACAGCCATGTCGAAAGCAGCGAAAAAGTGTACAGAAGAAGAGTATATAAAAAGACGATAAGACGGATTTGATGAAGAATGTACGAATGCTTTGGCAAGAAGAAATAGGATAGTAAAAATGCTCAAAATACGATCGAAAACTATGTGGAAAGAAGAAAAGAAGTAACAAGAATTTGCAGAAAAAAAATAAAATAGCTAGAAAAGCAATTAAAAATTATAAACAAAGTCTATATAAATAAAAAGCTAAAGAATTTCTACCAAAAATGTAAAAAATTCAGAGAAACTACAAAGAACAATAAACAATATTGCAGAAATAAAGAATGTATACTTCTAGGAGAAACAACAAAACAATTAAACAAATGAGAATTGGCAAAAAGATAAGGAAGGGACGTGCGAGGAACCAACCTTGAATAAAGACGAAGAATAGGATCACCAAATTCATTACTGAAAGCAAAAAATGTATGAAGAACAGCTTAACGGCGAGTCTATGAGACAGTAATCAGATCCACAGTGATGTATGCTAGTGAAACGTGGATTGAAATCAAGACGGCAGAGAATATTTGGAGAAGACGAGCAAATAAAGAAACAATGAGAATGTATGGAAAACCAGTTATTACATTAAAAATATCAGCTCAATGAGCTAGATGGCTTGGTCACATTATACAAATGCCAGAGAATCAAAATGTTAAAACAATACTGAAGGAGGGAGAAATTGGGAAAAAAGAAGAGGACGTCCAAAGAAAAAATGATTAGAAGCAGTAAAGCAAGACTTGCCAGAAATAGTCGTAAGAAATTAGAAGGAGGAATCAAGGGGCTGAAAAACATGGAGGGAAATAACCAAATGTTTAGAAGTCAGGGGCTTATAAGGCCTGTAGACCACATACATAAAAAAGTTAATATGTGACTTCATATTAACTTTTTTTTTATTTTTTTCTGTATATTCTATATCTAATATTCATTATCTATATGTATATTTTAAAACCTTTTTTCTATAATTGTTCCTATTATTTTCTTTTAAAACTTTTTCGTTGTTTTTCTCTGCGTGTTTTGTTTTTGTGTTTTGTGTACAAGACAAAATGTCATATAGTTGTTTTTTTATTCCTATTATATATCTTTAGTCTTGTTTTCTCTTGCTTCTCTCTGATAATATTCTTGTTTCCCTTGAGAGCACTGTGTTTCTCTTTCATCGTACTTTTTATACTACATTATATTCTATATTCAATTTGTAGCATAATAAATATTTAAACATTTTAAGAATGTATTTTACTTTAGATAACCAAAAATAAAAATAAAAAAAGTCTACTCAGGTCTACCACCGAAAGTTAGTAAGATTGAAATTTAAAAAGTACTGAAAGAAATGAAGAATAAAAAAACATGGCTTAAAACAGATGTTTAAAGAATATCGATGTATTCTTTAACTTCTTAGTGTAATTTTAGGACAAACAGCGATATGTTCTATTTGAAAAAAAATTATTATTATAAATAATTTAATAGTATTAATGCAATTATTTAACACCTATGTTCTTTCAGAGAGGGACAGCAGTCCCAAGAGGAATGGCATCGATTATATGGAAGGTGTTCTGGCAACGAAATTTATCATATCAAATTGGAGGATAGTCGGTTTTTCGGAGAATACGAAGGAAAAAGTTTTACATATGCCAGTTTTCATTCGCATCGAAAGTAAGTAATTAACGTAACGTCGTTTTTTTAATCTATTTATAATATTTTTATTTTTACATGATGAATATTTTATTACATTTAACTGCCAAAATGTTGTTTTTGTGCAAAACATATATACATAAAAAATTGTGTAATAATGTAATTATATGTAAATTACTAGTATATGGGCAATTAGTCAATTTTATTTATGGTAAATTAATATTATCTTTACGATATGAATGTACATAAGCAAAAAATGAAGAGAATTATACTTTATTAATTTTTGGTGTCTTTTATTTTCTACTAAAATCAATATTTAAGGTCGTAGGTACATTTCTGCTTACAACTTGCTCACCGTCTAGGGTAAGTTAGGCTGAGGACCTTAAATATCGATTTCAGCAAAAAAATTAATAAGATCAAAATAGTTCATGTATATTCATGTCGTTAAGTTAATAATAAACTAGATAATTTAAAAACTAGAAACATAAAATTTATTATCGACTATGTCATTACAAACCAAAACACTAAATTAAACATCCAGGACATTAGGGCTTACAGGGGTAAGGAATGTGGATCTGACCATTATTTGGTTGCGGCTAAGACTCTGGTTCCATTTAACCGACACGTTGAAAGCATCAACACTCCAAAAGGAACTGATATAAATCTGAAGAGATATAATGTCAGAAGCCTACAAGAATATAGCACTAAAATTTTATACCAAAATAGATTAAATGAAAAACTACTCGAGGAATACCTAACTGCTGAAATCAACCAACTATACGAACATATAACTGACTGTATTCACCACGCAGCCCAAGAAGCTCTAGGCGAAGAAACCAGAACAGTCCACAGATCAGCAGGAAAAATCACTTGAAATACACAGCTTGAAGATCAAAGAAATAAGAAACGGGAAGCGTACAAAAGATGGCTAAACACTAATAATCTTGAAGATAAAGAAATATACAAAGAACAGCAAAGAATATTTAAAGATATGACAAGGAACAACAAAAATGAAACATGGGATGCAAAATGTAAAGAGTTGACTTTTACATCGGAGGAGCGTGATCATCAGCGGCATGGAAATTAATAAAAACCCTGAAAACCGACACATCACATAAAAGTCGAATACAGCCCATCCAGATAGATACATGGAAAAATCATTACGCAAGGGAACTGAATGAAGACAGAGATATTTATAATACTGACTACCCTTAACGAATACGAGTACAAGGTGAATATGTAAACGTAGAAGAAGAACAAATACAACAAGCGCTTAAATCGATGAAGAATAACAAAGCATCCGGGCCGGAGAACGTACCAGCAGAACTTATAAGAAACGGAACACCAAAACTAATAAGAAGCATGGATTACTTCAATTCACAAAAAAGGTCCAAAAGATATTTGCGGAAACTACAGATGTATCTCTGTCACCAGTACCTTTAGCAGGCTGTTTGGTAAAATCTTAAAAAACATGATTGAAAAAGAATACGAACCTCATAAAAACATCTTTTATTTGTGGATCTCACAAAAGCATATGACACGATTTTTGTGAGAAGGCTGTGGCAGTCCCTTGAACGATCTTCATTAAATAACACGATCATCGCCGCAGTCAAACAATTATACAATAAAGTATCATCAAAAATCAAACTATACAACACCTTATCAGAAGAATTTCCAGTAACAAAAGGATTATTTAAGATCTATTTAAATGAAACACTAAAACACTGGAGAAGATCCTGTTCAGGAATGGGGATACAACTTGACGACGATACAACATTATACATTCTAGTAGTAGTGACAGCAGACAAGAGAGATTTAGAATTCATGACGAGACGGTTATTTAAAACATATGAAGAATGGGGCCTCTTTGTAAATAGAAACAAAACGTAATACTTATGCATCGGGAATGAAGTAGAAGATCTAATGGTCAACGAACATGAAACAATCAAGAACTGTGAGGAGTATATATATTTGGGAACAACAATCAACAAGAGTGGGCGCACCGAAAAAGAGATAGAGCAAAGAATCGTAAAAGGAAAAAGGGTGATAGGATGCCTAAACCCGATGCTATGGCCAAAAGAACTATCAAATCAAAGAAAGCATCTCCTCTTTAACTCCATCTTTAAAAGTATAGTGCTCTATGGATGCGCAACATGGCAACTTGCTAAATCCCTTGAGCGACGCCTACTTCCATTGGAAATGGACTTCTGGAGAAGATCAGCTAGAAAATCAAGGCTTGATACAATACAAAAGTGACCATATCAGAAATATAATGGAAGTCAAGTCAACCATCATTGACGAAATTCGAAGGAGACAACTGATCTGGTATGGTCATTTGAAAAGAATGGACGACGACAGGCTGCCAAACCAAGTTTTAAGATGGACGCCAAGGGAAAGAAGAAAGAGCCAATGTCGGAAAGAAACCTTCACCCTGACGAATGGAATGACCGACGTAGCTGGAAACTGGGAACCGGAAGGCGGAGAACGGAATAAAAAACCGGGATAATAATAAATAAATAAAAATAATTGAAAAATTATATGCTTCACTATTTTCCGCCCTAACTCGCAACATATCGACGGCACAAAAAATTATCAATCAATCAATCAATGCGTTTTAACATTGCTTTAAGCTCTATGCTTCTTCAAGGGTGGGTTTGTTATTTGGGTGCTTATGCTTGTTTGGTTTGAAATGCCAGTTTTCGCTCGTATGACTTCAATTGGACTCCGAAGACTAAGGGCGCCGCCGCTAAAGAGCTAAAAGGTCAAAGAGGGTAGTAAAGGATAGGAGGGAGGCCGAGAACAAGAAGAAGGCAAGAGGCGGATGTACGGCTTCCGGAAGAGTTAGTCAGGTATACCAAGCCTGTCACGAAGTACAAGTTCCTTGGAAAAACGATTCCTTTCAGATTGTTGGCCATTGTTTGTTTGTTGGAAAAACGCGTGGAGGATAGCTGTGGCTATGACCTCACCTAGGATCAGGTATCATTGTGCAATGAGATTGGGAAACCACAGAAAACCAATCTCCCCCTGTCCTTGTGTGTATTTAATCGACTCTTAAGGAGTGTGTTCGGTGCTCACAGTGTAGTGTTGTGTGTTGGTGAAGTTTTATATGTTTATTAATTTGGACTTTGGATTTATTATTGTGATGTGGGATTAGGTGTTTATTAATTAGGATTGTGAGCTAGGAAAGGTAAAGTGTTGTGTTTGGGTGTAATTAGTGTGTGTATGAATATGTGTTGATGTGTAGAGTGTGATATTTAGATGTGGAGGTGGGTGAAGGTTTGGTTGACTAGATTGTTTGTGCATGAAGTGGCTATGGCACATCCATACATTGCATTGGAAATTTGGTTGAGGTAAAAGGTGATTGCACTTCTCTTTTCAGGGAAGGCGTTGAATAGGAGCATGGATGTAAAGTGGATGAGGGATTTCATGTCAGAGGAGAGGTCGTAGGATGGGATTTGCTTTTCTGTGTGTACTGGTCGGGTTTGATTGTAGTTTGCGGGTTGGGTGTTTCTGTGAGGGCAACGTGGTGAGAAGGTGGGGTAAGGACCACTACAGTTGGGACATTTTGGAGTCGATATCATAGGGCAGGCAGTAGACCGGTGGCTGAGTCCGCAGTACGGACAAATTATAGACTTTTCTGGGCATTCTGTATTGAAATGTCCGCTTTTGCAGCATCTCGAGCAATACTTGGACCGAACGGGAACGGAGCTGCCTGATCGTGTAATTTCACAGGCCAGCCGCTCACCCTCGATCAAAATACCGCTCGAGAGAGCTTCAGCGAACTTGGTTTCAGAGCTGGTGAATACTCTGATATAGGAGGTTGGTTGGTGGATCGGGCGATTATTCGAACTACTTTAGTGTAGGGAAAGTTGTTTTCGGATAAGTTATCCTCGATGAGTTTTTGGGAAAAGGTTTTTGCCACGCCGGCTATGACGAGATGGAAGATAGATGAATTATTCGGATTAGGCGATGGATTTTGGGACTTAGGTAGACGGGCTATTATGCGGATTAGGTCGTTTTGAAGGATTTTTCGAAGATTTTCCGTGATGTGGGCGATGTCAAGGAGTTTTGTCGTTCGAATGGAGGCCGCCTTCTGGGCTGGAAAGACTTTTAGCGAGTCTAAATTAGGGATAAGGTTGTGTTGTAGAAGGAATCGGTTAGGAAATTACATTAGCAACAATTCCAGTGCGTACCATTATTGTCGTTGAAAAGTTGAAAATGACAGAGATATTAAGCATAAAAATGGTTCTCCTTTTTCATTTTAAAATTTAAGATGGCAGCTTATGAAACGATTAGATTCAGTCGTGATTTTAAATCAAAATACTGTTGACCTTCTCTAAAGGCTAGAGCAATTAAATTTGGGGCAGCTCTCTATCTAATGTTGGGCCTTTTTTCGTATAACGCGACTGGACTATTATATTTGGATCTTGTTTGTTTGAGGAACGCGGTTTGACTATTTTTTGGAGAGAGAGCCTATCAAGATTTTTTTTACAAAAAAGAGACATTTTGTAAATATATTATGTATAATATTTTTGGTAGTAAGGCAAGATATCACGCAAGTATTTAAAACAGCTGTGATATCTGCCCACAGTTCTTACATGGTATGTACTTAGAATGCATACCAATTTTTATTCTTAATAGTTTGATGACCTGCATATTTTGGCAATCCAAAATTGTTACCTAAACAGCGAACAAAGGCATGACGATTTTCAACAACATAGAAAATAACATATATATTACAGGATCTTCTTCTTCTTCTTTTGGCATCATAACCCTGGATGGGTCTTTGCCTGTCTGGCTATGTCCTTTCATTCAGATCTCTCTTGTGCCCTTCTTCTCTATTGTCTTATGTTTATTGTTTTCAGGTCGTCTTCCGCGTCATCCAACCATCTCGTTCTCGGCCTTTCTTTTTTTCGCCTTCCTAATGGCTTCCATTGTAACATTTTCTTTGTTGTTTTTGCATCATTTTGTCTCTGCACATATCCCAGCCATGACAGTCTTTGACTTTTTACAAGTCTTACAATATCATAACATTGCTCCTCCAAGTCTCTCGATTCCATCGCTCTTTCAATTCCTTCATTTCATGACCGTCAAGTTCTACTTCTTTTTCTTCTTCCAAGATGCTTCCATCTGTGAAGTTTTTGAGGGCAACGTTCGTCAGACATTCTCAATAGGTCTTTAAACCATTTTAAACCTAAGTGGTATTCGTGTGTATTAAGGTATAAAAAATGCTTATTAATAGCTTAAAATTTTTATTTTAAAGAAGATCTTTTCGGAATTTAATCATTTCATCATCAGTTTACTAACAGAGAGAGTAAAAATACCAATAATAAAAAACAAGTAAGTTAAAGTTTAAATATATCAAAAGAACACGTTGGTTTTTCACTACTTACATAAAAAGTTGTTAAAAACATTGTATGGCCACATAAAAACATTGGAAGGACATCCGTATTAAAAAACAATCCTCATGGTATTTATAAAGGTAAATTCAATAGACTGGTAACTTGTTGATTAATAAAAACTAAAAATGGGTGCATCTTACATGACCCCCTGTAGCTGGTGAGGTTTTATCGACTTACATTACCTCTGATCTGTGCTAGAGTCTAGGGCTAACTGATAGAAAGATGGTATAAAAAATCAGTTAGTACCCGTCAATGTCAAGTGGAATGATGTAGTAGGAACAAAAGTCATTGTGCTTAAGTTTGTGAATAATTCGTTTTTATTGAAGAATTGTGATTTGTGTGTAGTAGGATCAATAGCAATTTTTGGTATTTTAAAAAAGTGGGAGAATGTAAACTAATGAGTGACTGTGATGTATTTGACTGTGACTGATGACTGTTAGACTTGACTGAAGTTATTAAATAATTTGCATAGGCCTACCATAAGCCTACTTCTTGCTTCAAAATTTTTTCCATAACCAACCGCATTAGTTTATTTTATATAAAAACCAGCTACATAGAGTATCAATACCGCAACCAAAATACGACCGTTCCCGTAGAAAGCTCCAAATGTTTATTTTAATATGACAAGATGTAACCCTGTTTTTAATATACAATACTTTACTTTCAGTTGCAGGAAACAGGAATTATATACGTCACATTTTCTTTTGATCCATTTCAAAAACGTTCCGAAAAACTCTTACACGTCCCATCAAGATACCTACTTTAAAAATGTACCAATCTCATCAAAGCATAATGTAGCTTTTGTATGTTTTTTCTTTTTGTACATTTTCGTATCTATTGAGTTATCTTTATGCTTATTCTTTAATAAAAAGATAACCGGCAAAGGAAAACTGTGCACAATGGGGCCCTGCTACTTCTTTCTTGTTGTTTATGAATATTGAATTTGGTTTGAATGTCAACCGCCGAGGTATACAAAGTTCGGGTTTGCTTATTCCATTTTCGGCTTAACGATACTTCGGAAAAGTAAAGTAAAAATTATATTTTATTAAATAACTTTATAAATTGACAAAAATATTGGTTTTGGTTATACCGAGCCATCGAGACAAAATTTATTACGGAAAAGATGTAACGTCGAAACATGTTGTATAGTTACTGAAGGCATTTCCAAGAAATGTTATTTTTTAGCAACATTCATAATGATAACTAACATAACTATACCACATTCTTTTGTTATATATACAAACTCGCATCACCCTGTAAGGCTATTAGCGAAAAAAGAACAAGTACCACCAATAATTAAATAACGTAACAATTAAATTTTGTATAAATAAAATCCGTAAAATAGTTTCGAAACACAATTCAGATTTCTGCTTATAATCTGAGCCTTCTAAAAATTGCAGGGCAAACAGACGTTGATAAAAGATGTTAAAAGGGACATGGGGAATCTAAAATTTGCATTCTACGACATGTCTTTACAACTAAGTAGAAATCCTTAGCGAATTGTGTTTCTTGTACTCGTACAGAGCACATCCTAATAAAATAAAAAAGACAGCAAATATTTGATTTCACGCAAACAGTCCCTATGTATCTGTTAATACGTATTTCGACCTAATAGGTCTCATTAGAACAGTTATTCGTAGGTGTTCTCAACGTGAAAAATCAATATTTTCTGTCTTTTAAAAAGCAACACTAAAATGGCTACAATACGGACGCAATAACGACATCTAATAATAAAATCCGTAAAATAGTTTCAAAACACAATTCAAATTTCTGCTTATAATCTCAGCCTTCTAAAAATTGCAAGGCAAACAGACGTTGATAAAAGATGTTAAAAGAGACATGGGGAATCTAAAACTTGCATTCCACGACATGTCTTTACAACTAAGCAGAAATCCTTAGCGAATTGTGTTTCTTGTACTCGTGTTACTTTCTAGATATACGTTTTACTGGTAATATTTTTAATTCTATTTTTACAGATATGGCGTCGCCTTAGTAGGAGTCCGACCAGCGCAACTTCCCGAATTCTACGAAGACACGATTCTCCTCAATCCCGGTCCTCGACATATCATGAAAAAAGACGACACCTGTTACTACATGAGCATCACCAAAGAAGAGAACTCCTCGTTTAGTGTGGCCAATCAACAGCCGAACAACAACAATACGACCGGTGATCCTGTGATAGTAACGGCGAAGGAGGAAGAGAAGACCACAACAGTTCCGATAACAACGACTGCAACGAAAGACGGTACCATTCCTCCTCAACTCATTCTGCAAGTCCCCACCTGTGTCAGTGAGTGTTGTAGCTTGCGCATGATTGTTTATTTTTTTAAGTTCTTGACTGAGATAAGATAAAATTGTGGAAATACATTGAAATGAAATTATTATGTTATTTCTGTCTCTTTTAGAAACCTCATGTTCTAGGAATGTCTCATAATTTATTCTTTCTTACTTATCAAGCATAATATTCTGCCAACATATTAGTATGCGCATATATTATTATAAAATTTTTTCTTATAAAAATGATTGCACGTTATTCAAGATTTATGACATCAGAATCCCACAGCGTTGCCAAAACATCAGATTAGTTAATAAGTGAAGAATTTTTAAAATGGCAACCATTTGTCAAACTATTATATTAACAGTAAATACTTACATAGTTTTAAGACTACTGCAACACACTAAAATATATAAAAACAAAATTCTTACTCTAAAAAAAGCGGCAACACTTTAAAAAAATTTTGCCATACGCTGAACTGTCATTGAAATTTGAAATTTCAGAAAAAATATAAATATTTTTATTGTTGTAATATATTTTAAATCCAATACGATTGAGAATATATTTATAAAGCAATTTCCTCTAATATATTTATAAAGCAAAGAGGACATAGACTAATTCCATTCATACACTGAGAGACAATCAAGGCCGTATGATAATCGACGGTAAAGAAGTAACTGAAGTATGAAAAAAGTATTTTAGGGACATTCTAAACATCATACAGGAAGAACAGTACAAAGAAGATATCTATATCACAGCGGACATGCCCGTCAAAAATCCATCCTTTGAAGAAACCCAAAAGGCCTTAAATAAGCCGAAAAATCATAAAGTGCCGGGTATGGACGACATACCAGCAGAACTTCTGAAATATGGGGGAGACGCACTACATCGCCAAATCCACCAGCTAATTACGCACATATGGTTAGAAGAAAAAATACCAGCACGATGGAAGGAAAACATAATAGTCCCCATCCACAAAAGGCGGACAAAACAAAATGCTCGAAATATAAAGGAATATCACTTCTAAACACGGCATATAAAACCCTCTACAACATCATTCTTAGTAGACTAATCCCTTAAGCTGAAAATGTCCTAGGCGAATATCAAGGCGGGTTTAGGCCAAACAGATCAACAATAGATCAACTATTCACACTGAGACAACTTCTTGAAAAGGGATGGAAGTATAACAGACCCACACACAAGCTTTTCGTAGACTTTAGACAAGCATATGATAGCGTAGAAAGAAGCCAGGTATGGAATACCATGGCAGAGTTCTCAATACCAAAGAAATTCATTCGGATGACCAAAGTCTATATGGAGGGTGGAATATCTAAATTACGTGTAAATAATAAACTGTCTGGCAGCTTTGAAATCAACAGTGCACTTAAACAGGGTGATGCGGTATCTCCACTACTTTTTAACCCTGTATTAGAAGAAGCCATGAGGTCGGCCGTAATAAAAACAGAATTGCTATCGGTTCAAGGTCTCAAGCTGTTACTAGCTATTTGATTTACATATCATACAATTTGAATATGGTAATACATACAGGGTGGTGAATCGTCAAACTGGCCATAGGAAACTCAATGGGAAATTCTAAATTGTTGAATTCCTGCTTCCCTAATAATTTTACACCAAAAGTCATGGGAAACTATTTGTAGAGGACTCAAATATGTATCGAAAACAATTGTTAAAATTGTTCTACGACTTAAACGTATTTCAAAATTTTGCTAAAATATACTACATTTTTCAGGCCACCCCTAAAAGTCAGGCCAGACGTCGTGAAAAGAATGTGTATTACTTGTTGCGTTTTATCATATTGACGTTTCTAATATTTGACAATATTTAAATCAACTATATTATATTTATCTATGATTTAAATAATACACAAATAACACCAAAGAACTCTTTGATAAAGTCAGACAACTCACACGTAAATTCAAGCAGAAATCTTGGTCTATCAAAGATGATGACGGTAATGTACAGACGGATTTGGACAAGGTTATTGATGTTTGGAGGGCGTATTGTAAGTCTTTATACGCCAATATGGACCAGATGCCAGCGGAAGCCCCATTTGTACCTGACTGCCAGACCTCCACTTTCCATTCTCCTTCAACAGAGACACACCACACTAGTTTTGAGTCTGAACCTGACATACTTTTTTCCGAGGTGGAATTCGCTTTAAAAAGACTTAAGTTAAACAAAGCAGCAGGATATGATCTCATTACTGCAGACGTCTTGAAGCATCTTTCGGAATGTGGAGTGAAAATATTACATCGATTGTGCAATGAAATATGGCACACAGGCGTCTGGCCTGAGGATTGGAGAAAGACCATAATCATACCTCTTCATAAGAAAGGTTCAACAAATAATTGTAACAACTACAGGCTATTAGCTCTAATATCACACGCCAGTAAGGTGATCCTCTACATACTGCAACGGCGTCTAGAAAACTTCATAAGTTGGCAAATAGCACCTGAGCAGGCTGGATTTGTAAAGGGCAGAGGTACTAGAGAACAAATCCTTAATGTACCAAACATCATAGAAAAAGCCAGAGAATACCAGATCCCGATATGTTTCGTCGATTATACAAAGGCCTTTAATAATGTTAGATGGGACAAACTATGGAACATATTGACGACAATGGGTGTACCTAAACACTTGACTCACCTTATTAGCAAACTGTATCAAGATAACCTGGCATATATTCGAATGGACGGATATCTGTCTGACAAATGCACTTTGGAGAAGGGAGTACGCCAAGGATGCGTTTTATCTCCCTTATTATTTAACATCTATTCGGAGTTCATAATGCGCACAGTTTTGGATGGTTGAGAGGGAGGAGTAAACCTAGGTGGTGTTAAGATATCTAACTTGCGTTTCGCAGACGACACCACACTTCTAGCCTCTACTCCAGGAGAAATTATTAAATTATTAAAAAAACTCGAGGTAGAAAGTGCTAAATTTGGACTCATGGTTAACTACAACAAAACCAAAATCATGGTTATTAATCGCCAACAACAGTTTCCTGAAACCCAAACTATTGCGGGATGCGAGGTAGTCTCATCTATGATGTATCTTGGAGCTCTAGTTACCAACACAGGCAGTTGTGAATCCGAAATTAGAAGACGCATTCAACTAGCAAGAGCAGCAATGAGTGAACTAAACGGGGTCTGGCGTGATCGTCACATTACTATGACAAACAAAAAGAGACTCGTTTCAACTCTGGTCTTTTCCATATTTTACTATGCATGCGAGACATGGACAGTCAAAGAATCAGATCGACGACGTATAGACGCCTTTGAAATGTGGACATGGAGACGACTGCTTCGAATTCCATGGACGGCTCGCCGTACAAATATCTCGGTTCTGGATGAAATTAAACCGGATCAGCGTCTCTCCAGTACCGTTTACTCTAGAATCTTAAAGTTCTTTGGCCATATCCATCGAAGTGATCACAAAATGTAGCGGTTGGTGGTCCAAGGAAGGCCTCAGACTCAACGCCAACGCGGAAGATCTCCACAGCGATGGGCGGACATTACTAAAAAGCTTCTTAATAAACAGTATAGTGAGGCAATACATATAACTGATGACCGCGACCAGTGGAGAAATATTATCAATCAAACTGTCCGAGCTGCTGAAGCCCAATTATGAACCACAACACATCTACTAAGATGTTAATGACTGTGATGATGATGATTTAAATGGCCAATATTTTTATTTTGTGATTTATTGTTTAAAAAAATATTAAGTTGATTAAAAAATGTACTCAGTTAAGGAGAAAAGAGCAATAATCAAAATGTTTTATTCATGTTTTATTATAACATTTGTTATAGTTTTATGTTTAGAAATTATCATAAATTATTTTTAGGAATAAAGATCACAGTAACAGTATATTGGAATTTATTGAATTGTTGTATAACTTAACTTAACATGGAATTAAATTTTAGTGTATTAGAATATCTTACGTTAAATAAAGATCCGGTAGTGACAGAAAAAGGTTCGCGCTATTACCTGAATACAACATTATGCGATTTTTCGTCAACTGAGTACATTTCATTATATTGATCGATTTGTAAACAATATAATTTATTGTTCACAAAGTAATATTGTTCAGTAGTAGTAGTATTTAGTAAAATTCATTGTTTATAATTTAATCATAAAATATTATAATCAAATTGTCAAACATCTGACATCAATATGATTAAACACACACGTTATATATTCTTGTATTACGTGTGGCCTAACTTTTTGGGGTGGTCTGAAATATCTATTATATTTTTGCGAAATTTTGAAGTACATTTGATTCGTAGAACGGTTTTAACATTTGTTTTTAATTCAGATTTTAGTCCTCTACAAATAGTTTTTTATGACTTTTGATCTAAAATAATTAGGCAAGCAGCAATTCAACAATTTAAAATTTCCGATTGAGTTTCCTATGGCCCGTTTGACGATTCACCACCCGGTATATTAGTCCCATTTTTTATTTATTGTCAGAGTAATCATACGCTATCTCTTATTGTCCTAGAATATTACCATAGACTTGAGAAAGCGCAGTTGCCACACTTACTTCAATGTATATTACCCAAGTCTAGCTAAAAGATTTACGTACTGTATATGGAAAAGGTACATTTTTTTACAGTTTTTTTGTGTTTTTGGAACCACACCTTGAATAACAGCGGTAATTTAGTATTTAAAGTAAATTATTTAGTCTACAAATCTAAATTTAATTGATTTAACTGTTTATTTAAAAAATAATACATCCATTTTTTGTAGAAAAAATATTGTATGACGTTGAAATCAATAATTTCTGTTCGGCAAGAATAAGGTGGGTCGAAGGGCAAAGTACTTTATAAAAAGCTACTAACCACATTAGTTGATCTATTTGGTGTTTTTCCGGGTCTAATTCGTTTTGACACAATACATCCATATTGCTTGTTTGTCAGTGAGTGGGTGTTCTAATTTAATTATTGTTACTTTTGTTCTGCGGGAAGTGCTCGTACACGAAATATTAGTCCTTGAGTTAATTAAGTTTAAGAATATATCTTGTATGCTTTTGCAGTATTAACAGTAGATATGTTCCTAGATAAACGCAAAATATGTTTGAAAGTGTTTGTACAGTTTTAAAATTATCGCTCTTAAGCAATTTTTTGATAAATCTT